CCTTTGGCAACATATGGATGACTTCCTTGACCACATCCCAATCTTCCATACCCATCCCTTCAAATAGGAGACAGAGTTTATATGACAACTCAGTCCCACTCAGACCTAACCCCAAAATGGCAAGGTCCCTACATGGTAATTCTGCTGACCCCTACCACTGCAAAATTAAAAGAAATCACGCCTTGGGTATACATCACTCAGTTAAAAAAGGTTATGAAGCCCAATGATGAAAATGCTTGCCAGACTAATGGTTACCAAGTTTCTCACACAGGCCCTACAACTCTAAAGTTCGCACAGCTTCCACTGGCCCCAACTGGCGATGGATGAGCCTGTTGGTCTCACGGCTGCAATTATTCCTGGAACAACTTCTGGCAGATATCTGGGTCTCAAGTCCTCAAGGATCGATGTTCGAACACGTTAAAGATTACATCTTCACCCTGTGGCTGCAGGGGACCTTTTATAACTTTTACCCCTTGAACTAGCTCAGTCGTGTCCAACTCTTTGCGACCCCGTGAACCGCAGCATGCCAGGCCTCCCTGTCCATGACCAACTCCCAAAGTACACCCAAACCCATGTCCATCAAGTTGATGATGTCATCCAACCATCTCATCCTCTGTCGCCCCCTTCTCCTCCTGCCCTCAATCTTTCCCAGCATCAGGGTCTTTTCCAAAGAGTCAGCTCTTCGCAACAGGTGGCTAAAGTATTGGAGTTTCAGCTTCAACATCAGTCCTTCCAATGAACACCAGGACTGATCTCTTTTAGGATGGACTGGTTGGATTCCCTGCAGTCCAAGGGACTCTCAGGAGCTTTCTCCAACACCACAGTTCAAAAGCATCCATTCTTTGGTGCTCAGCTTTTTCATAGTAATCTATCTTATACTCACTTCCCCAAATGTTGTTTAACATCATCTTATCCTCCCTTCTTCCTCTGACCCATGAACTCCTTCAAAATCCTAACCTCAACTATCTATTCCAGACCCTTAATTTAACCCATACCCTTCTCAATGCTTCCAACACACAATTGGCTAAAGACTGCTGGATATGTCTATCTGTAACTCCTCTGGGAGATTCAGCCCTTCCCACATCCATCCTCGACTGGACCACAGGTAACATGTCCCTACACCACTCATACCATGGGGAGCCTTTAGTCATCTCATATCTTAAATATCTTCACACTAGTGACCAAATTTGAAATTCAGACATACTCTTAGAATCTGGCTCAGATGGTAAAGCGTCTGTCTACAATGCGGGAGACCTGGGTTCGATCCCTGGGTTGGGAAGATGCCCCAGAGAAGGAAATGGCAACCCACTCCAGTATTCTTGCCTAGAAAATCCCATGGACGGAGGAGCCTGGTGCTGGGTTGCAGTCCATGGATACGACTGAGCGATTTCACTTCACTTAGAATCTTTACTCACTGAACTTCCCTCCTTCAACGGAAAACCTCCAATAGGAGGCCCTATCGCCCAGAGAGTAACACTGTTACAACCAGCTCCTTTTTGCATATCCAGAAATTCCCAAAACAGTTCATATGACCAACCCGTGGGCACAATCCCAAGCTCCATGTGCAACCATACCTCCACCTTACTCTTTGCAACTGGAAAGGCTATATATAATGTTTCTGGTCCTACAGGACACTCTTTAACCTTTACAGGGCGGTTTCCCTCAGCATGTTCCTCCACCTCTCCCATCGTTGGGGCCACCTTAGTGGGGTCTCTGAGGGTCCTTGAACGAACAATCAAAACCCCCTTGACTCCTCTTCCCCATTGACTTCAGCTGCTGTGTTACGACACCTGGCCTATTTTTCCTGTGTGGGACGTCTACATACCCTGTCTACCTACTAATTGGACCAGGACCTGAACCCTGGTATACTCCAGTCCAAACATTTTAATAGCCCCCAAAGATCAACCCTTGCCTATTCCTCTCATCCACAAGCGAATAAAACAAGCCATTCATTTCATTCCCCTCTTAGTAGGACAAAGAACAGTGGCTGGAATTGGAACAGGAACCGCCAGCTTAACCAACTCCATCCAAAACTACCAGACACTATCTAAAGACCTATCAGACAGCCTCCAGGAAATAGCTCAAGGCCTAGTAACTATCCAAAATCAATTTGATTTCTTGGTGGCCACCGTATTACAAAATAGAAGGGGATTAGATCCACTCACTGCAGGGAAAGGAGGTCTGTGCCTTTTTCTAGACGAACCCTTCTGTTTCTAGGCCAACCAGTCGGGTATTGTCCAAGAAGCTGCAAAAAAACTTACAGATCAAACCTCATGAATCCTCCAGAGATTAAGCAACTCCTGGCAGTCATGGTTAACAGAATGGAACTGTATGCCTTGGTTTTACCCCTTCTCGGACCATTCATTTTTATCACCCTCCTACTCACCTTTGGGCCTTGTTTGTTTAATCTTTTCCAGGGATTCCTCCAAGACCAAGACCGAATCCAAGCAATTTCCCAAGACCAAGTCAAGACTGTTCATTTGCTCAAGACCCTGACAGCTAAAACAGAGAATCAAGACTAAGGGCCTGAGACTTCCTTCCTCCCAGACCACAATCCCCTGACCCTCATTTATCAGCATGAAGAAGCCCTGAACATTAAGGACGCCCACCTCTTTCTTTTTTTACATATATCCCTTAGGATCTGAAATGAAGGAAAGTTACATGGCTCAAAATAGCCTGGAGTTAAAACTCCCCTCCGGGCCCTCCCCACCATTCTATGCAAAACAAAGAATTCTCTCATCCAAAGAAAAAAAATGGACATTAAGGTTGATTATGCCCAGCTTCCAGGTGGTCCCAGCCCATGGCTGATCTCCAGAATTCCTTGACCCAACTGTTTAAGAGACAACTACTCCGAACAACCTTGGAGACGGATAAGCCCCCTTAAGACAGTAGATTTCCACATATATGCCTATACATACTCACTCTTTTCTAGGGTTAGTGCAGCAGCTCACCGATCTGACTGCTGCCCCTTCTCACCTCATTAAAGGTGATCTGTTCCTGTAAAGTGCTGGTCTTGTTCTTTTTCCGAACCTCGCCTTCTCTAACTCCCTTACCCTACATATACTGACTCCACCGTCTTTCTAGTCAAGCCCTTTGGGGGTCATCTTTCCTCAGTGGCAGCAAATACTAGCGAGTAATAAAGGATATTTCCACTTCAGTTAACAGGAATGCTCACTGGGTCCCTGGACTACTTTTCTCTACCTTTCAGTTCCTGCCTGTGCAGCACTGGCCTTGAGGCAAACATTAAAGAGAGGTTACAAAAACCTGCAAGACTTTCCAAATATCTTCTCTCACAATTACCTCAGCTACAGAAGAAAAACATGCCTGGAGGTCCTCAGGACTTCCCTGGTGGTCCAGTGGTTAAGAAAATCATGGCTGGACATCCTGAGATTTGTGTACACACTGATCCTGCACATCAGCCATTGTCACAAACACACCTGTGGATGCACTTTTGGAAGATCCACATTCCACTGAGTTGGCTGCTGTCTCCTCTACTCGCTAATAATCTAGTTTCTATAGCAGTTTTGGTTTCCCCTGGCCACTGCAGTCTTACAACCAGTGACTGTCACTCATAGAATTGTGGACATCAGGGCACATGCTCTTTGCAAGACCTAGACAGGAGATCCCCCTCTACAGAGCTGACAACTTCTGTGACATCCTTTAGGAGCAGGGTAAAAAATTCATGCTGCTTCAAGAACTTGAGATTATCACATCTCACCCCTCCCCAGGGTGATGTCTGAGATTCCTAAAACTCATAGAGGCTTCAAACAAGGACCAAAAAGCCTTGCCCTCTTTCCTACGACTTCACTGGAACCAATGCAAATTTGGCCAAAACTGGCCAGCCAATATTTTGCCATCAAACTATCCTCCCTGTGGCCCCTAAAAACCATTCACCCTTCATGCCTGCGGAGCCCAAACCTCCTTGTAGAAAACCTCTCGCAGTACAGAGAACACTCAAAAATAAGAGAGTCCTTAAACAATAAGGCATCTACATTGCACAAACCAAAACAATGTGTGGCATGCAGTGTGGTCTGGTGACTTGCTAGCTAGAAAAATGAATTGTGTGAGAACATGTCCGTGAAGAAGGTTGCCCTTCTCTGTACATTTCATTAGCTGAATTCATAGGGACTGGGCTCTAACACATGGAAGAACAGAGGTCAGCTTCTCTGAGTGCACTGGGCTGGTGACTGATGCACTGTGTAGACCTGCCAAGTGACAGAGATAAAATGGCAAAAAAAAAAAAAAAACTGGCAGTGGCATAAATCTAGGAAGAGCCGCAGACAGGTTAGAAAGTGCAATATAGCCACAGATGCTTCCTGCAAAACTGAAACTTCAGGGGTATCTCCCCTTGTAGACAACTGGAAGTAGGAGATTGAATTCAGATGGACAGCTCCTCAGTTTCTTCCAGTGTCATTATCCTGAACAGGAAAATTGCACATTCTCTTGCACACTCAAGACCTTTCTCCACTGTAAACTCTTATCACATATAATGAGGCAAATTCTTTAGGAAAAAACTTCCCGAACTCCTGTCATGAATAAAACTTTTCTTGTGAACTCTCTGTTGAGAACAAATGGTGGAACTAGAGGTAAAAGTTTTCCCACATTCACAACACACACAAAGACCTTTCAACATCTGTGAACACTGATGTTGAAGGACTGCAGAACTTTTTTGAAATCTTTTGAAAAGATTTCACTGCACTCATACTTCCTTGATCCAGTGTGAACTTGTGGATGATAACAGAAACCCCACCTAGATGCAAAAGAATTCCCACATTCACTGCATTTATAAGGGTTTTCTCCAGTGTGAAGTCTACAGTGTTCAATGAGAGAAGACTCTCTCTTAAAGGATTTCCCACATTCAGTGCATTCATAAGGTCTTTTGTTGTGTGAATTATCTGATACTTGTGAGGAGTAGAACTAGAGGTAAAAATTTCCACATTTACTGCACTCATATGGCCTCAATCCCATGTGAACTCTCGGATGAAAACAGAAACTGCAAAAATTTCCTACACTCACTGTATTTATAAGGCTTTTTGCCCAGTGTGAGGTCTAGTGTTCAGTGAGAGAAGACTGTCGCTTAAAGAATTTCCCAGATTCATGGTACTCATAAGGCCTTTCTCCAGCGTGATTTCCCTGATGATAAATAAGGCTCCTCTTAGTGGTAAAAGACTTCTCGCATTCAGTACACTTATAAAGCTTTTCTCCGGTGTGAACTCTCCAGTGTATAAGAAGGTAGTATCTTTGGATAAAGGATTTCCCACATTCACTGCACACATAAGGCCTTTCTCCTGTGTGAAACCTTTGATGACAGGGGAGGGTGGAACCAGAAGAAAAACATTTCCCACATACAGAGCACTCATAAAGTCTATCTCCAGCATGAGTCTTATGATGATAACACAGGGCAGAATTGAACATAAAACATTTTCCACACTGCTTGCACTCATAAGGTCTTTTTCCTGTGTGAACTCTGTGATGATAACAGAGGGCAGAACTAGAGGTAAAAGATTTCCCACATTCACTGCAATCATAAGGCCTTGATCCATTGTGAACTCTCTGATGATAATGGGGGCCAGAACTAGATTTCCCACTTTCACTACATTCATAAGGCCTTTTTCCACTATGAACTTTGCAGTGTTGAATGAGCTAAGACTGATAACTAACGATTCCCAACACTCACTACACTCATAAGGCCTTTTTCCTGTGTGAACTCTCTGGTGGAGAATGAGTATCAAGCTATTGGTAAAAAGATTTCCAAGTGGAAAAAGATTTCCCACATTCACCACATGCAAGAGGCCTTTCTCCCTTGTGAAGTCGCTGGTGTAGGATGAGAACCGAGCTATAGGTAAATGATTTCCCACATTCACTGCAATTGTAAGGCCTTTCTCCTATGTGAACTTTCCAGTGTACAATGAGAAAACACTTTCATTTAAAAGATATCCAACATTGAGTACACTCACAATGCCTTTTTCCATTGGGAACTATTGACTGTCAAACTAGGATGCATCTACGGTTAAAAGACTGTACACATTCACAACAAAAGTAATTTCTCCAATGTGACTTCTCCAGGGATAAATGAGGACAAAGTTTTGGCTAAAGAAATTCCCACATTTGCTGCACTTGTACTGCCTTGCCCCAGTATGAATTCTTTGATGCAGACTGAGGATCGAAGTTCGCCTGAACAATTTCCCACATTCACCACACACATGAAGTCTTTTTCTAGTGTGGACTCTCTGGTGCACATAAATAAGGATTTGTACTTGAATGTTTTCCTACATTCACTGCACACAAAACAATGTCTTCCAATGTGGACACTCTTGTCTTGAACAAGTGTGTGTTTGGGGTTCAGGGTTTTCTTGTGTTCTCCCAGGTTGTAATGACTTTCTCTGCTTTGTAAAGTTGGCTCATACTGGACAATATTGTCTGGCTTCTCCCTGGTGTGAGTGGACTGTTGCTGGAGATGTCCTGAGGTGGCCAGAAAGTCTCTTAACTTTCTCACAGGAAGAGGGCTTTTCTGACATATGGAGTTTGCAGCGCTTCACAAACAAGGCCCTGTCTACATCATTTCTGAAGGATTTCTTTTCCATGTACTGCTTCTGGTGTTTTTGGAGGTTTGCACCAAAATGAAATTGTTTCATGTGTATTTTATACCCGAACACTTTCTGGCTGTGTTGTGTTTCTTCATGCTCTGCCAAGTGAAAAATACTTCTCAAGACCAGACTACACTTCTCACAGATGTGATTCTTCTGGGAAAATGAAAGTGCCTTAGGAGTCCTGGCCTGTGACAGGCCTATAGAAATGTTATGTTGAAAGGGTGCCTCTGCATCCTGTCCTCCACAGCAATAACCTGAACACACACACAAAAAAAATCTGTAATGAAATAAATGCAAATAAACATGTCGACTTTCTGAGGAGGAAGCAACATCATCATAAAGGTAATGAGTCATATCCAGGGGTGAGTCTGCACCTAACAAACACACAGAACATTCCAATCAACTACAACAGAATACATTCTTCTTAATGGACATAGAACACTCTCTTTAAGAGAGGTCACATATTAGGTCTTAACACATTTAAGAAGACTGAAATCATGTCAAGAATTTTATCCAAAGATAAGGGTTGGAAACTAATAATCAGTAACATAACAAGCTCAGTGGCTCAGTCATGTTTGACTATTTGTGATTCTATAGACTGTAGCCCACCAGGCTTCTCTGTCCATGGAATTTTTCAGGCAAGAATACTAGAGCAGTTTACCATTTCCTACTCCACTGGATCCTCCCAACCCAGGGATCAAACCCACATTTCTTTAATTTCCTGCACTGGCAGATAAGATTCTTTACCACTGCACCACCTGGAAGTCCCCAATAACATAATATTATCATTGTGAATGCTGGAAAGCTCAAAAATATATGGACATCAAAAAAGACACATGCGGGAGGGGGGATCAGGATGGGGAATACATGTAAATCCATGGCTGATTCATGTCAATGTATGGCAAAAACCACTACAATATTGTAAAGTAATTAGCCTCCAACTAATAAAAACAAATGGAAAAAAATAAAAATTAAAAAATTAAAAGACACATGGCCATTAAAGAATACATTCCTGAATGTGTTGAAGAAAAAAATAAGAAAACAAAATTATCTTAAGACAAAATAAAACGGAATCAAAATATGCCAAAACTTAAAAACAACTAAGCTCAAATCTGGAAGGAAGGAAGTAATAAACATTAGAGCAGAAATAAATAAAATGCAGACTAAAAATACAATGGGAAGATTAACAAAGCTAAGAGTTGGTTTTTGAAATGAATCAAAATGGACAAACCTTTCGCTGCATGAAAAGAAAAGATTCAAGTAAATGAAATCAGAAATGAAAAAGGAGATACTACAAGTGGTACTACAGACACACAAAGATCATAAAAAGCTACTATCAACAATTAAATGCCAGGACATCCTTGGTGGTCCAGTTGTTATGAACCCACCTGCCAATGCAGGGAACATGGATTTGACCCCTGGTCCAGGAGGATTCCATATGCTGAAGAGCAACTAAGCCCATGCACCACAACTACTAAGCCTGTGTGCTCTAGGGCCCACGTGCTGCAAGTACTGAGCCCACCCGCTGCAAGTACTGAAGCCCAAGTGCTTACAGCCTGTGCTCTGCAACGAGAGAACCCCTCACAATGAGAAGCCCACACACTGAAAGGAAGAGTAGGCCCCACTTCTGCAACTAGAGAAAGCCTGTGACAAGCAACAAAGACTCAGTAAAGCCACAAACAATTAACTGCCAACAAACAGGAAAAACTAGAGAAAAAAAAAAGAATAAATTCTTTGAAACAGACAACCCAGCAACAATAAATCATGAAGAAAAAAAATGTGAACAAGTCAGTAGCAAGTAAAGAAACTGAATCGTTAATCAATTATATCCCAACAAACTAAGCAACAAAGATTTATTTTACAGCACAGGGAAATATAGCCACTGTTTTGTAATAATTTAAAAATTTAGTATAACTCATAAAAAAATTTTTTGGCTATGCTGCATGGCATGCATGGTCTTAGTTTGACAACCTAAGATCAAACCCATGCCTTCTGCAATAGAAGTATATAGTTCTAACCACTGGACCATCAAATAATTTCCCAATTAATAAAAATATTGAGTCACTGTGTCTTACCCTGATAATAACATAATATGGTAAACCAACTATACTTCAATTTTTTAAAAAATAATTCATAATGACAAATTGTCCCAACAAAGAAAAATGCAGAGTCACTGGTAAATTCTACCATGATTTTAAGAACTACTGTCCATCCCTTCTCAACTCTTCCAAAACATTGAAGAAACACTTCCAAACTCACTTTCCCAGGCTAGAAATATATATCAATACCAAAGAAAGTTATGGAAATTACAAGAAAAAGAAAACTACATGCCAACATCCTTAATAAACATAGAACAAAAAAATCTCCAAAAGAAAGTAGCAAACCAAACTCAATAGTGTATTAAAGAATCTTACACCATCATCAAGTGTGATTTACTCCTGGGATACAAGGATAGTTTTTCATATACAAATCAATAAACATGACACATAATGGAATGAAGGATACAAATCAAATGATCATCTCAATAAATGCAGAAAAATCCCTTAACAAAATTGAGCATATTTACCTGTCAAAAACTCTTAACACTTTAGGTATAGAAGGAATGTAACTCAATATGATAAACCCATATACAATAAGTCCATCCTAACATCATATTCTTGTCTGGGAAATCCCATGAACAGAGGAGTCTGGTGGGTTACAGTTCATGGGGTCGCCAAGAGTCAGACCTGACTGAGACACATACACACAACATCACACTCAAAGTTTAAAACCTAAAAGCTTTCCCTCTAAAATCAGGAACAAGAAAAAGATGCCCATTATGTTCATTTCTATTCAGTATTGTTCTGGAAGGCCTGCTCAGATCACTAGGTCATGAGAAAAAACTAATAATAATAAAATCACAAAAGAAGCAAAACTGTGCCTGAAGAAGACAAGATCTTATATACAGAGGATCTTAAAGGCTCCCCCATAAAACTGTTACAACTGTTAAACAAATTCAGTAAAGTCATAGGATACAAAAAATCAATATGCAAAAATCAGTTGCATCTCCAAAACCTAACAATAAAATATCTGAATTAGGGCAGCAATTATATTTATAATATAAAAAACAATGAAATACATAGGAATAAATTTTACCAGAAAGATTTGGACACTGAAAACTATAAGACACTGATAAAAGAAAGTGATACAAATAAATGAAAAGATAACTCATGTCCTTGTACTGGAAGAATTAATAGCATTACAGTATCCATGCTACCCTATGCAATATACAGATTCAATGCAATTCCTATCAAAATTACAATTTTTCACAGAAATAGAAGATGAATCCTGAAGTTCATATAGAGCCACAAATGACCTCAAAGAGGCAAAGCAATCTTGAGCAAGAAGATCAAATCTCAAGATATGGAACTTCCTGATTTCAAAATTCACTGCAAAGCTAAAGTAATCAAAATAGTATTCTACTGTCATAAAAACAGACACACAAAGGGAATGGAACAGAATAAAGAATCCAGGAAAATGTCTCAAATATATATGGTCAACTAATCTTTGACAAGAACACATAGTGAGGAAAAGGCAGTCTCTTCAATAGAAGGTGTTGGGAAAACTGGATCTCCACATGCAAAACAATGAAACTGGGACTTCCCTGGTGGCCGAGAGGTTAAGAATCCACCTTGCAATGCAGGGGAAGCAGATTCACTTGCCTATGACCCCACATGCTGTGAAGCAACTAAGCCTGAGGCCATGTGCTCCAGAGTCTGTGTGGCACAACTAGACAGTCTGTGCGCTGCAACAAAAGATCCCTCATGACACAATGAAGACACTGTGTGCTGCAACTAAGACCCGATGCAGCCAAATAAATTAATATTTTTAAAAAACCAAAACAGTGAAACTGAACCCCATTAACAGTAATTAACTCAGTGGATTAAAGGGTTAAACATAAGACCTGGAAGTGTAAACTTGCTTGGAGGCAAAAAACAAGGAATAAGCTATTTGGCAGTCGTCTTCACAATGATTCTTTTTTTTTTTTTAATATGACATGAAATACAGTGAAAAATATCTATATAAGAAGTGAAACTACATCAACCTGAAAAGCTTCTGCAGAGCAAAAAAAAAAAAACAATGAACAAAATGAAAATGTAATCTACAGAATGGCAGAAAATTATTTGCAAGCCATGAACCTAATAAAGTGATGATACTTTAAACACATAACATAATCAAATCAGCAATATCAGAATAATCTTATTAAAATATGAACAGAGGATCTGATTAGATGTTATATACAAATGGCTAACAAGTACACAAAAAAATGTTGTTTCTCACCAATCACCAGGGAAATGTAAATCCAAACCACAATGAGATATTACTACTAAACTAGTAGTAATAGATAGTCAGGATGGCTATCGTCGAGGTAAGCACTGGCAAAGGTACAGAGATACAGGAACCCTTGTACACTTGGTGGGAACATAAATTGGTATAGGCATTATGAATAGACAGTATGGGAGTTTCTCAAAAATTCAAAATAGAAGTACCATACAATCCAGCAATCCCATTTCCTGGAATAAAGTCAAAAGAAATGAAATCAAATGGGGGAAACATAATCTGCACTCATGTTCATGACAGCATTATGGGCAATACACAAGATGTGGAAACAATCTAAGTGTTCATCCATGTATGAATAGATAAACAAGATGTGATATACTCACACATACATATGCACATCTGAAATATTATTCAGCCATAAAAAAAGGGAAGTCCTCCCATATACATGGATGAACCAGAAGGACATTATGCCAAATTATGTTTGGTATCACTCATGTAGAATTTAAAACAAAGAAACAAAACACGTTGAACTCACAGAAACAGAGAAGTTGTTGCTCAAAAGGGACACATCTTCAGTTACAAGATGGTGCTGTCCATTAAACTCACTGCAAGACTACAGACCTCCAATTCTTCCCCATGAGGATTCAGTACAGAAAAGAGGGAGTGCAAACAACCCAGCCACAATTTCCACAGCAACTACCCAGAGAGCTGGGAAAACAAGCAGTGCCAGAGGTCCACCTGAGAGAAGGCAGAGCACCCCCGTGGAAAAGGGGGGTGAGCCAGGATCCAGAGCTCACTCTAGGTATCTGCAAAGGCTTTGAGAGTCTTACCCAGTGAAGATATGAGTGCAAAGCTTTCCAGGATCACACTGAGGTACAGGCATCTCGGAGCCTCATCAAGAAGCCTCTGTTCCTCCGAGGAGAAGTACACAGCAATGTCTTTAAAGCTTACACTGTCCTGTCAACATAGGGACAAGGAAACAATGTTCTGAGAACCCACAGTCCATCACCACACACATCTACCCCACTGTCATCCTCTCCTCCCAAACTCACCTCAGAGGAGATACCAGGACCTGGGGCTGCTAATGCAGCCTTGGGTCATCCTTGGGTCACATGCATCACTGTAGTCAGCCCTCAGCAATAATACACAAGGGGATATATATATGCCATGTAAGCTCTGGGCCTGGATAGCAGAGCCCTATCCCTCCCATCAAGCAATTCCCCTGGAGTCTCTCAGACTATACGTACAACACACAGTCAAACCTGGGCTCATGCTTCACTATCAAGTCTTGAATACCAAGCCTGTGGGGCCATCAGCTCACAGTACCTGTGCATGTGCACATCATTTTATAGACTATCTCTAACATCATCATTCCCCACTCCCACAGTGTGGGGTTACACTCCCACAGTTCTGCCACCTTCCTGCTCTATAATACAGGTTTCACCCTGGACTCGTTCATACACCCAACACATAGCTTCCAGGGACTGCTTGACATTCTAAAACTGTCCAGTACCACCCCAGACCTCTGATGAATCTCAGTGCCAGGGAAAGTCCCACATGTTGCATTGCAGACCTCTCTACCTGCTTCTGATCCCTGATTCAACATTAGCCATGTATAATGCAGCATGTGAATCACACACATCCATGACACTCTTCTAGTTTTGTGATACATTGTTTGATCATCTGTCCCCTCAATAGTCACAACCGTCTACTCAGCCTTCCTTAAAATCTCAGCCCTTACAGTCTCCCTGCAGCATGAGGACTCTTGACTACATTTACCACAGACCTTATTCTCCAGCAAGACTAAAACACTCTAGGCTCCATCAAGGTTCACTGCACAATTCTAGTGAATCTGGATAATATTAAGTTAGCAGGAGCACTGGCCTCAGTGCCAATTTGTTTCAATTATTTCTCTGCCTCCCAAGCCACATATCTTTTTTTTTTTTTAATATTTCAAGCTTTTTATTTTCTATTGGAGTATAGCTGATTAATAATGCTGTGGCAATTTCAGGTGGTACAGTGGTTAAGAATCTGTCTGCCAACGCAGGGGTCATAAATTTCATTCCTGGTCCGGGAAGACTACTACAAGCCATGGAGAAACTAAGGCCGTGCTCCACAACTACTGAAGCCTGCTAGTTCTAGTGCCCCAGCTCTGCAACAAGAGAAGCCACCACAACGAGAAGACCGATCACCTCAAGAAAGAGTAAACCCCACTTGCCACAACTAGAGAAAGCTCACTTACCGCAACAAGCACCCAGCACAACCAAATATAACTTTAAAAAAAATTAAGGCCTTGTTTCCCGGTTCCCTGGTTTTTTTTTTTTAATTGAAAAAATGAAGACCTGCTGTACCCTGCTCCCAGTTCAGACATGCCTCCAAGTATTTGCACATGCTATCTGTTCCTGGGAAAACCTTCCACACTAGTTTATATTAGTCATCAGGAAACAGAACATGTGTATGTTATCCTTGTTCTGCAGTCAGGACCCAGAGTTGGACTCAGGCCCTCACATTCAAGAGCTGAGATTATATCAAGGCAAGTCTCTGGACACAATACCCTGACATTCTATAAAGTGAAAGTGAAAGTCGCTCAGTCGTGTCCGACTTTTTGCGACCCCATGGACTATATGATCTATGGAATGCTCCAGGCCAGAATACTGGAGTGGGTAGCCCTTCTCTTCTCCAGGGATCTTCCCAACCCAGGGATCAAAGCCAGGTCTGCCACATGGCAGGCAGACTCTTTATCAGCTGACCACTCTCTATGGGTGGTATCAATACCAGTGAGGGACTGGGACACCATCTCCTGCCTTGTGTAGGATCCCTACGTGCTTTTCCAACCTTCAGAACCTGGGGGAAGAGGAAGGCAACTGTGGCTGGGCTCCAAGTATGCAGGACTCCCCTGGATCCCCACCAGCCCTTGAACCTGGACTTGGGGTTAACTCACTAACCTCTGTGTTTCAGTCCTCAGAGCAGACTCTTATCAGATCCCTGACCTTGGAAAATGATGCTACTTCTCTTTGCCGCAATCTGTTCGTCAACCACCTCCAATCTGTTCCCTCTCTGAGCAGGATTTTGATGACCTTTAAAACCCTAACACATATGGGATTTCTCTGGTAGCTCAGTAGTAAAGAATCTGCCTACTTGGCACCTTCTCTGTGACTTGTAGTGACACTTCTCCAAGGCTGGTGGTTAAGACTCTGTGCTTCCACTGCCAAGGGCAGGGGTTCAATCCCTGGTTGGGGAACTAAGATCCTGCATGCCACATGGCTGGGCCAAAATAAATATACTAAAAACAAAACAAAAAACAAAGAATCTGCCTACCAATGCAAGGGACACAGGTTTGATCCCTGGTCTGGGAAGATATCACATGGTGCAGAGCAACTGCACCACAACTACTCACTCCAGCTACAGCCAGAGTTCTGCCAACAAGTGAAGCCATCCTCCACCCTCTGCAACTAGAGAAAGCCCTCCAGCAGCAAGGAAGAGCCCAGTGGGCGGAAACGAAGACCCAGTGCAGTGCAACAACAACAACAACAACTTGAAGACCTGCTGTACCCTGCTCCCAGTTCAGACATGCCTCCAAGTATTTGCACATGCTATCTGTTCCTGGGAAAACCTTCCACACTAGTTTATATTAGTCATCAGGAAACAGAACATGTGTATGTTACCCTTGTTCTGCAGTCAGGACCCAGAGTTGGATTCAGGCCCTCACATTCAAGAGCTGAGATTATATCAAGGCAAGTCTCTGGACACAATACCCTGACATTCTATAAAGTGAAAGTGAAAGTCGCTCAGTCGTGTCCGACTCTTTGCGACCCCATGGACTATACGATCTATGGAATGCTCCAGGCCAGAATACTGGAGTGGGTAGCCCTTCCCTTCTCCAGGGACCTTCCCAACCCAGGGATCAAAGCCAGGTCTGCCACATGGCAGGCAGACTCTTTATCAGCTGACCACTCTCTATGGGTGGTATCAATACCAGTGAGGGACTGGGACACCATCTCCTGCCTCGTGTAGGATCCCTACGTGCTTTTCCAACCTTCAGAACCTGGGGGAAGAGGAAGGCAACTGTGGCTGGGCTCCAAGTATGCAGGACTCCCCTGGATCCCCACCAGCCCTTGAACCTGGACTTGGGGTTAACTCACTAACCTCTGTGTTTCAGTCCTCAGAGCAGACTCTTATCAGATCCCTGACCTTGGAAAATGATGCTACTTCTCTTTGCCGCAATCTGTTCGTCAACCACCTCCAATCTGTTCCCTCTCTGAGCAGGATTTTGATGACCTTTAAAACCCTAACACATATGGGATTTCTCTGGTAGCTCAGTAGTAAAGAATCTGCCTACTTGGCACCTTCTCTGTGACTTGTAGTGACACTTCTCCAAGGCTGGTGGTTAAGACTCTGTGCTTCCACTGCCAAGGGCAGGGGTTCAATCCCTGGTTGGGGAACTAAGATCCTGCATGCCACATGGCTGGGCCAAAATAAATATACTAAAAACAAAACAAAAAACAAAGAATCTGCCTACCAATGCAAGGGACACAGGTTTGATCCCTGGTCTGGGAAGATATCACATGGTGCAGAGCAACTGCACCACAACTACTCACTCCAGCTACAGCCAGAGTTCTGCCAACAAGTGAAGCCATCCTCCACCCTCTGCAACTAGAGAAAGCCCTCCAGCAGCAAGGAAGAGCCCAGTGGGCGGAAACGAAGACCCAGTGCAGTGCAACAACAACAACAACAACAACAACCCCCTAACACATAAGTGTCCCTCTTCTGTCCACTAGCCTCCACCGCCTCCAGGTCAAGCAGAAAAAGAAACAACCTCTCTGCCAGTTCAGGTACACTCCCTCAACTCGGCCTCCTGCAGACAACAGTTGGAATCCAGGTTTCCCAAACCCACCCGCCTCAGTCCGACCCTCCAAGCCTCTGCACCTGCAGGTATCTGTGCCCATCACCCTCTCCCAGGCGTCATCACGCTGTCTGTCAGACACAGGGATCACCCACGACCGCCTCACCATCCTGGAGCCTGGGGCCTGGACAACGGGCACATGAGCAAGCGCCCTGCACTCAGGGATTAGTGTCTGGTGGGGTGAAGGCGGTGAGAGCCCAGCGGGCCAGCGTTACCGGGAGGTGGGTCCCTCAGCGCGTCACCGCCATCAGACTCTGGCCGGAGCGGCAGGGGGACGCGGGCAGGGACTTTCCTCTCCCCGGCCTGGCGCACGGTACCCCAGTCGCCGTTGCAGAACCTCAGAGTCCACTGTGGCGCAGGGACAGCGCCTACTCTGGCGCTTTTTAGATCGGGTCATGCGGTCCGGAATCAGCGGCCCCCAACCAGGACACTCACAGCAGTTTAAAACGGCCTCTAAAAGCAGGATACCGGAAGTCCCGCCCCATGTGATGTGAAGTCCCGCCCGATGTGAAGAATTTCCCCGGAAATGCATTTATGTGGCTCTTCCTTCCTGGGCGCAGGATCTTCCGGGTAATATTGTTCTCAGGACTTTAGCGATTACCAGAAAGTGTGTTCTCCTTTCTGACCAACCAGAACCTGCTCCAATTGGCACCCGGAAGGATGCTGGAAAGCAGTCATCTTACCTTGAGGAAGGAAGGGCTCTGTTTCTTGTTAAATGCAGCAAAGTGACAAAGTTTTAGACTTCCTGAAGCTCAATCAGCTCCCAGAAGATAAAAATACTGAGGTTGTCAACTACAGATTGGCACTTGCCATGGTACTTGCCGCCTACCTCTACAAGGATTAAATCATGTGCTGCTCCAGCTGTTGACTTCAACACCCTCTGAAAGTAGTTGAGTGGAAAGCAGAAATGAAACACTGCTGGGGGTGGCCGGGGGCGGAGGGGGG